CAGTAGCATGGTGTCATACCTAGGTGGTCTGCCATTGTTGTTCTCATGCTAGGTCCATGATTATGTAGTTATAGTCAAATAAAAGTTTCTCTTTCATCAACTCTATTATCAAAGGGTATACTGAAATGGAAATAAAGATTTGGAACGAATATTCAACATCACTGACTTTGTTGCAGTAGTAGTACTCTATCCCCAATTTTGAGTAACATTTTCTTACTATATGGAATCCATTGAATGTGGTGATAAGGGAGTGGTTCGTCTAATCTATCCAGCTTGTCAATTTGTCCCTGAGCTCTGTGCATGGCCCACAGAAGCCTTTGTTTTAGAGTCTTGAGGACTACCACCTTTGAGCCTGGACCCTCTCCCTGCTCCTTCTCTTCTCGACCCCTTTCTTCTCCACACCCAACAGATTTTACTTCCTTTTGTTTCTGGAATCTGGTGGGAGTGTTAGTCATTCTCCACTCCTTCCATCCACTCTTGGATGGAGGGGAGGACTCTGACCTTGACTGTGGAGGAGTGGAGGTAGAAGTGGCCTTCACAATGGTCCTGCCCCACGATGACCATCTAAAAAACCATCAGACATTTCTCAGTGCAGAATTTAACCTCCCACTAGCACATCATAGTTCAGGGTGAAGGGAAGAATGCATCCTGCCACACCTACATGAAGCTCCTGTGGCCCTATATCGATCTACCTCCGTGGAAGTCACTGCTTCCGCAGGCATAGTTGACAGACAGGAAGAGGCTAAGGGATTAAAGAGTCACTTTTAGACAAAATATATATTTGTCAATATCATTCATAGGGCCAGAAGTTCAAACAAAGAGTCTGCAGGCCCAGTGATGAGATATTAAAAGAGCACTCACACTGAAATGGTTTTAACCATAATGCAGGTGTAGAGATTGAACTATAGTGCAAGAAAGCAGCAGTTCAAGAATTTATTCCATGGGAACAATTCCCCTAATGTCTGAACCAGTTTGATGCCATCTACAGCTCCTTTCCCACTCATGGGCTGGGCCTGAGACATTCCAAAGTATGCCCCCCATCCTCTACCTCTTCTGTGCCCACTGTTGTCTTACCGGAACTTCCAGCCTCTGCCTCTGGCTCTGTCTCACCCACTCTTCAGATCCAGTTCTTACTCTCCACTCACTTCCTTGGACTTGATGTTTCAGACTTTTCCTCGTTCCCACCTTACTTGAGCCAGACACTCAGATACCAGTTCACCCTTTTCCTGATCCCTGAAACCTAAGGCCAACCCTACTCACCACCCCCCACCACCACACTAACCCAAACTCCAGTAACCAACCCAAGCTAGAGCTTTGAGTTTCCTCCTCTCTAACTTTAACCCCCAAAACTCCCTTTGTCTGGGAAGCCAGGGTTGGCAGCCAACATGCTTAAAGCCTGATAAAAACAAATAGGAAATCTAGCAAAAAGCAATGTGGACTTGGCTGGAATTTGAAAATGTCTTCTGAGCCATTAAAACTATAATACCTTATTATATACTCTATTTAATAGAATGCCTTTGCTATTTATCCATCCATTTATCTCTCTCTCCATTTCTCTGAGCTTTGGAATATTCAATCCAAGTACCTTTTAGTTGGAAATCTGTTCTTTTCACATTAAACAAGGAATTTTTCAGCAAAAATTGATAATAGATGCTATTCTCAAGTAAGGCACTAGGTGGAGCATGTGAATTTAAAGGAAATTGAAGTTGGTAGTTACTAGTGACAACAAATCATTTAAAGCGAGAAAACTGTAAAAAATTAAACCAAATTTATTTTGATTAATGTCCACTAAACATAGACAAATATAAAACAGCATAACACTTTTTATAAATATATTTTAAAAAGAGATAAAAATTGGAATAAACAATCTTTTTATCTTCAATAGACCCTTCAAACCCCATAGGCAAAGCAGAAACATGGGGCAGGCAGCAGTTTCAGAAGAACACTAGCTGGGGAAGGCAGAGGAAGGGCTAGCAGATATTGTTTTTCACTGGTTGAGAAAATGAAATGGTCTTTACCAGAGTGACAATTCCTCACATCTGTATCAACTTCCAGATTGCCAGCTTCCATTTGGGGAGCAAATAAGTCTAAGGAATTTGATTGCCTGGAAGCGTGGGAAGAGGTCACACGTTGCTAATAACAGCGGGTAAAGTCTTTTAAAAGTTGTTTGTTGTTTATAAAATCTTATAGGGAGGAGATTTTTATGAGAATCAGACTCTGATTTGCAGACAGTGTCAGCATGATTCCTGGAGGTTGAATCTCTAAGATAGACAGATAGATTGACACACAGACAATCTGCTGCAGGGCTCAGAAGGTAACAGCCTCCATCCCGGCAGTATCACATTGTGTATGTGCACAGTGAGAGTCACAACTTTCGACAAGAGTTTATTTATTTGTGGTATTACAAGTGAAGTTTTGTCAGTGCTTTTATTTTTAGTTGGGTGTAAAAATATCATCCAACAGAAAGCTTGACCTTCCTATATGCAGTTCAGGCTGCCTTTAAGTCCAGGTCAGGAGTTACTGGAGGAAAAAAAATCCCTGGAGAACCCACCATTGATTCAGTGCTATTTTGAATTCTGATTTCTCCAATCTACCTATTACCATTTACTTCTTGGAGTCCCATGCATTCTGTCCGGGGTATTTAGTTGCATTCAGTGGAGTGACAGAATGGAGAGTGCTTACTCCATTTTGACTGGAACCAGATATGTGTATGATTTTCTTAATTCCTGATTTTCTTGTCAAAAGATGTGTAGAATAAATTCTAACTTAGCCTATTTCATACAATTGCAAGATAGGAATTTAGGAAGGAGATAAACTAGTTGAATTTAATATGATGAGAATTTAATTATTTTATAAACAATATATTGTGATATTTTGTTTTGTGATGAACTTCAAGGGAGAAAAATGCTTAGGTTTTATGTGAGGAGGACTTGGCCAGGAATATATACCCTCCTGCTGTCTTATTTAGCAAAGTGGCTAGCTAGAAGCAGGCAGCAGCTCTGAATTTTAAAGTTTATAATTTTAAAATTTAAAAATTTTTAAAAATTTTAAACATTTATATTTCAAACCAATCTGATTTCTCTTTGAGATCACCAATATGTTAGGACAGATGAATAAATTGTTCTTTTTAATTAAAAAAAAGCTTAGTTGATAAATTTGATTTTATTAAGTAAAATTAAGCTTCATATATTTTGGACGTTTATATGAATTAGCAGCAAAACTGGTTCTAGCACTGGAGATGACTAATGCCATGCTTCAAATACCTTTCTTCAAATCTATCAGTGATGGAGATTGGGAAGTAACATTTAATTTAATAGGCAGGAAGTGAAAAAAAGTCTATGATTTCTTTGCCCATTTTCATTGTGTTATATACTCAAGACTCAATATGCAGAGCTGTTGAGTTTGCTTCTTCCTTTTTACCTACTTTTGTGAAATAAGTTTAGCAAGAGATAGAGTGTACATCAGGATGCCATGACTACTACATGGTACTTATAGCAAAACCTTCACTAAAGCCAGATTCTGGGACCTGGCAAGATAGAACCGTATCCTCTAAAGGTGTGATGATGGTGGGCATACAAGGTAACAGGGAAGAACCATGCTTCTCTGCTGGTGAATTTGCAGTACCTTGGAGGACATGTTACACGTGATTTTGTTTAGTTAATGGTATTCTGAGTAAAGTATGGAGTTATGTCGATTGCTGATTCCAAATTATGACGATGACATTAAGAATAGTACTTGGTACATTTTTTCAACCCTTTTGAATTTTTATATCCATGACTATGTTTGCTTTCACAGTCACCTATGAGATAAATAGACCAGTGATGAGTGATTCTATTTATAGATGAAGAAAACTGAGATGCTGGCTGTTAAGGGATTTGCTGAGTGGCCCCCACCATGTTACTCACAACCCTGAAACTAGGACCCAGAGCTCTTAACTTCTAGGCCAATGCTTTCCCCCTACATCACACTGAGTAGTGATAAGTTTATGAAAGGAATTATGGGAAGGCCTCCTTTGACCAAGAATTAATTTTGCACCTCAAATAATGATATTTTAGTACACGAAAGGGGATTGGTATTGATGCCAACCAAGTTTTTTAAATGCCTGGTGAGCAACGCTCCCTAAGAGAAAAATCTTATATATATACACAGGAACACATAAAGATATTGAGTGCTGCTTTGTTTCTAATAGTAAAAAATTTGGATCAGCCTAAATGTTGATCGACATAAGACTAGGTAAATAAATTGGTATATATTTATAATATATAATATGACCCAGTGATTAAGGTGAGTGAAATAAATAAATAAATAAACACACACACACAGAGATATTTTTAAAAAATCATAGTGTTGTGGGCAGGCCTGGTGGTGTAGTGCTTAAGTGCGCATGCTCCGCTTTGGTGGCTTGGGGTTCGCAGGTTCAGATCCCGAATGCGCACCGACGCACCGCTTGTTAAGCCATACTGTGGTGGCGTCCCATATAAAGTAGAGGAAGATGGGCACGGATGTTAGCCCAGGGCCAATCTTCTTCAGCAAAAAGAGGAGGATTGGCATCGGATGTTAGCTCAGGGCTAATCTTTCTTATACACACATAAAAAATTTCTAAAAAAGTTGGAGGTGGTGCTGGTGGTTAGCACAGGGGGACCTCAAGGGAGTTCCCAGTGAGAACTACATGACTGACATGGAAAGGAAAAAATGTGAGGAAGTGCTATGCGTTGGCATTTAAGAAAAGCAGATATAAGTGTTAGCTGGGCCCATTTGGTAATGCTCCCCACTGTGGTAGAAGGGAGGCTTGAGCTCTGGAACTCACCTTACCCCTGCTAGTCCTACAGCACAACAGAGAGAGAGCTTGGAGATCTGGAATGGACTTGCTCTTCCTGTCCCTTTCTCTGAAGTCTCTGAATACGTCATGTGATAAGACAGAGAATGAGTCATTCTCATTGCCTACTTTCTGTTACATTACTTAATATCCTAGCGCTAATATTTTCTGGATAAACTTCTAGGCATGAAAGGATGCATACCGGAAGACCCTATCATGTGGAAGATGCTGAAAAATACTGCCTTGAGGATGATTTGGTCAATCTAGAGGTTCTGGATGAGGTACTAAATATTTAGTATACAATTCTCACTGATGATATTTGTTTCACATGAATGGTCTGACCTTTCTGTTGTGACAATATTCTCCTAAGGTCACTTGAAAATTTAATTGTTTGTATAGCCTTGGAGTTGAAACTCAGGGAGCATTTGGTTGCTTTGACTATGATCCTGTGTTGTATTCATTTATAGTCCCCACAATGTCCTAAATGATGAAGAGAAAAGGATTTGGATTTTTCTAATAAGGTTATTTATATTGTAGGCTTAAATGATGTATTATATTAGCTGAAATTATTTTCTGTTTTAAAAAAAAGTGCAATTTAACCCTTAAATTAAGATAGTTGTTTGTTCTTCATAAAAAGGAGCTTCATTTGGGGAAATAGTAAAGTTAATATAGCTTGAATTCTAAATCTGAAAACTGTCATAATCCCTATTTAAAATATGCATGTTTAATAGAGCTGTTAATTGCACTGGACCTGCTTCTGCAGATTCTAACTCTGGGGACCCTTAACTGCAATGCATGAATCACCAAAGTGTAATACAAAAGTGTTCAATTCTATATTCCCACCACATAAATTTTAAGTGCAAAGCTTTCAGAAATGAAGTTACTATTTTGTCTGTACTGCATCAATAGGAATGGCCTATTAAATCAAATTCTAAATAGGACATTTTGATTGAGTGACACAAGTTTTTCATAATAACAAATAAAGCCTTTGTTGGCTATCTCAATGTCTTTTAGCAAGTCCTAAGTGGGCCTAATTCTTTCAGCATATTCCTATTTTTTTCTTTTCAAGGCAAATATCTACCTTCAGGATGATTAGGTTCATTGTATGATTTAAATTGACTTCTTTCATCTTTTAGAGAAAAATATTCTTGTAAGAATAAATTTGTTATTTTTAGAATCTCTCCCTTGTTGGAAATAATGTTTACTCTCAATATCATTTATCTTCTTCTTAGGATACAATTACTCATCAGTTGCAGAAGCGTTATGTGGACTTGCTGATTTACACCTATGTTGGAGACATCTTAATTGCCTTAAACCCCTTCCAGAATCTAAGCATATACTCTCCACAGGTAAGGAATGCTTTAAGAGCATCTTGCTCCTTAATAGGAAATTAAAAATCACGAGGGACAATGAAAAGAAGGAAAAAGTGAGAATAAAATTATGCCACCCTAGAGGTGTATATCCCAAACTGCAGATAATAATGCAACACAAATGGAATTCTTACATTTTGGGGGTAACTTTTTAAAGCAAGATGTAGCAATAATACCTAACATTAATTTTATGCTTACTGAATGCCAGGCACTATGTTACCTCGCTTACTCTCCCAACCCTGTGAGACAAGTACTATTATTAAGCCTATTTGGCGGATGAGGAGACTTAGCATAGTGAGGTTAATTCCCTTGCAAAAGCTCATGAAGCCAGTAGGTGAAGAACAGGTATTTGACCTCAGGCCTGTAGACCCTACAGCCTCTTGATACTACAATTCCTTCAATAAGTGACAAAGCCTTGGTTTTGTGGGCATCGGGTACCAGAGAATTAGAAGGTCCAGTGGAGCATTAAAAGGTCCAGTGGAGCATTAGAAGGATCTTTAATTATTTTTTCTTCAGTTTTCCAGACTTTATCATGGAGTGAAACGTGTCTCAAATCCCCCCCACATATTTGCATCAGCAGATGCTGCTTACCAATGCATGGTTACTTTCAGCAAAGACCAGGTCAGAACTCACCTTCCTTTCCTACCAAGTCACACAGTAAGATGTGTTCTGTCTGCCTCTGCAGCTCTCAAGTCTTCCTGAAAACTTTCCCTTCTGGTTGCTGGTGCTGACTCAAGGAGATAGGAAATGAAATAGCTCAGTGGAACAGGAACAGTGATAAAACCAGAGTAGCAGGAGAACGTGAACACTCTTTTCAAGAAATGTGAAACATTCACATCCAGAGCACTCATTTTCTCTGATAAAATGTAATCAGGATATTTCTAATATGAACATGAGAACCTAGAGCTAACACAAACCTGATCACATGGCAATGACTGCAATAAAAATAGGATGTAGAATGACATAAATGAAATTCCTTCCTATTAAGGTCTCAGAATTTTCATGGTCCAGTCCTTTTTGTATGAAATACTTCATACACTTTAGCTGCTGAGAAATTGTGATGGATTGGGTAAAAACTGAAGAAATCTTAAATTCAATGCTGGTTAAACACAAAGATCACCCATATGTTTTAACTTTCTGGACCTCGGATTCACAGTGGTGGCATATCCAACCTTTGATCCTTCATCTACTTTCAATATGTATGTTTTCCTTTGTGTCTTTATTCTGTTTGAAATCGAAATGATCTAATTTGGTGAGAAAATTTTATGAGATAATCACCATGTGTATATTTCTGAGACCTGTGAAGTCTCAGCTTTGGGTTTGTTGAGGAGTAAATGAAATTATAACAGGACAAGTTACAAAATGGAGTACATGGATTCACTATATGTTAGAAACTTGCCTTGTCCAAATTCTTACCTTTCCCAGAGACTTGTGAAATGTCCATAGATTTCATAAAAAGGAAGTAAATGGAGAGAGATATTTGTGTTTCTCAAGTTAAGAGGTTTCCCCACTGTGTTCTTTTTTTTCTGACACCACTTCTAACACAAAATGTTGTGTCTTTTTTAACCAATTCTCCAATTCTCCAATACCAACTGCATGTCTAACAATTCAATTCCATTCAATTCTGACACTAACTACCCAGAGTTAGTGCAGATCTCACCAGTTCAGGGATCAGTCTCACAAGACTGCCTCTACTTCAGATGCCAGCTGCGAATGGGGTGCCCAGTTTACCCAGACCCCTACCTGGCCGACTACAAATTCAGGTATTCCCACCACCCCCCTCAGGTTTGGTAATTCACTAGAATGACTCACAGAACTCAGGTAAACACTTCACTTATGTTTACTGGTTTATTATAAAGGAGACAACTCAGGAACAGCCAAATGGAAGAGATCATAGGGCAAGATATAGGGAAGAGGGGTGGGGCAAAGCATCCATGCCTTCTCTGGACATGCCCCTATCCCAGCACTTCAATGTGTTCACACCAGAAGCTCTCTGAATCTCATTGTTCAAGAGTTTTTATGACTCAATCAATTTCTAATCCCTCTCTCCTCCCCAGAAGTTGGGATGGTGGTGCTGAAAGTTCCCACCCTCTAATCGTGGGTTTGATCTTTCCGGTGACCAGCCCCCAACCTGAAGCTATCTTGGGCCCCACCTTGAAGCACTTGGTTAGCAGTTAGGTTTGGTTAAAGGGGACTTTTTTGTGAATAACAAAAGATGCTCCTTTCACTCCTATCATTTGGAAAATTCCAAGAGTTTTAGGAGCTCTATGCCAGAAACCAGAGACAAAGACCAAATATATGTTTTTTATTACACTGCACCCAGTAAACCTAAAGAACTCCTAGAAATGAATGATAAAAAGACCAACGATACAAAAATAAATAGGCAAAGGATATGGAATGGTCACACACACAGTATATATGAATGACCTTAAATGTGTGAAAGGATGCCCAACCTCACTCATAATAAAAGAAATGCAACTTAAAACTATACTAAGATACCATTTTTTGCCTGTCAGATTGGCAAAAATCCAACATATCCTGTTTGGTGAGGCTGTAGGAGAACAGGCACTTTCATATATTGGTAGAGTCCTTAGGAAAGCAATTTGATACTATCTATCAAATTTACAAATGTGTTTACCTTTTGATCCAACAACCCCATTTCTAGGTATTTATTCCACAGATGAACCTACATGTAAATATAATGACCTATGTATAAAGTTATACATTGCAATATTGTTTGTAATAACAAAAGGAAAAGAACTCAAGGATCCATCAATATGGGACTGGTTCATAGATTACGGTACATCTATACAATGGAAGAACAAGCAGCTGTGAAAAGGTTGAAGAAGCTCTCAATGTATTGAAATGGAAAGATTCCTAAGATGTATTGCTCAGTGAAAAATTAAGGTGTACATTGGTGGATGTTATATGAAAACTATAGCTAAACACACAGGATGTTTACTGTGCTATGAATTCTTCATTCACCTTCCATTTTCTGTGTCAGTGCATTGTCATCAGCGGAGAAAGTGGCTCTGGGAAGACAGAAAGTGCCCACCTGATTGTTCAGCATTTGACTTTCTTGGGAAAGGTATTGACTTCCTGCTTTATGTATTGTCACTAGAAGTCCCTGCAGAATAACGGCATATTTTTATAAATGATGGAAATATTAGTTCTTTTTAAGGGTTACATGAAAACATTCCATCTTTATTACATTTGCCTCCTGATAGCTAGGCCTCTTAAGATGTCAGCATGCCATCCTTCTTTCACATAGTGAGGAAAATAATGCCAGCATGAATTTACTAGATTATCGGCAATTAATTTTTCATGTTTTCAATGTAATAGAAACATTTAGCCATTAAGTAGTAAAAGTGGTTAAACATTAGGAACAGGATCAGAGAGAACCACTAAAGTGATTAAAAGACTGGAAAATAGAAATCTTGGGGCAAAAGTTGAGGGAAATGGAAATTTTCACTTTGGTGAAATGGACATTGGAGGAATGACTTAAAAAATGGTCTAGCAGTTACTTATACTCAGAATCAGTGTATTATGTGACTAAGATAGAATTTAAGGAATATTTTTTTACAGATAAGTTTTATTGAATATTATAATGGATGACTGAGAAAAGTTATGAGATTTCTCTATTTAAAATTCCTTCTAAACTGTTTAGGCATTTTATCTATCAAGGATTTTAAGTGAAGTGTGGCTGGAGGTAAAAACTAAAAACCTAGTCTAGCCTCATCTGATGCCTATGCACCTGGGGAGTTGCTCGTCTCAGAAAACAAGGCTGGCTAGTGGTTGATGCTAATTTCCCCAAATGGAGATCTTCCCAAAAGGATATGTGATTTTTGTGGGTAGGGAGGGGTATGTGGCAACTCTGCTAGAGTAAGGTTCCTGGAGACTCCTCTTGACTGTTCTCTGTTTGGCACAGGCCAATAATCAGACCTTGAGAGAGAAAATTCTGCAAGTCAACTCCCTGGTAGAAGCCTTTGGAAATGCATGCACTGCTATCAATGACAATTCCAGCCGATTTGGAAAATATCTGGAAATGATGTTTACACCAACTGGAGCTGTGATGGGGGCAAGAATCTCTGAATATCTCCTTGAAAAATCCAGAGTTATCAAACAGGCAGCGTAGGTGCACTATTTTATCACTCTGGTTTTGCTGCAATATAGACCTGGAGGCTTTGGGAATTTTGATGTCTCCATTTTCACTCCTGTTCTTAGCATCTCTGCCCCTGCCCCCAGCCTCCCCAAGAGCAAGAAATTATTTAAGCAAAGGATAAGTGGTGATTTGTAACCTAAAAGATGTTTACTGGCAGAGTTCAGAGGGCTAGGGTGGGGGTACTTTAGGATAGGTATGCCTGTTTCTCCTGAGTTGGTTATACCAGGTATAATTTAACAACATTGCAGATGCTTTTAAAAATCAATAAGTCTCTTAAAGTTGAAATTGTCTATATTAAAAAAAAGCACTGAGAACATTCCATATGTTAACTTTTTCCCTAGATTGAGAGAGGGAAAAATATATTTTAAGAAGAGCAGTTTAGCAACAGTGATCAATAGCATGGACTGCTCTGACATTTACTGGGTGACCTTGGGTATGTCATTTAACCTCTCTGGGTGACCTTGGGTATGTCACTTAACCTCTCTGGGCCTCATCTGTGAAATGGAGATGCTACTAGTGCCTACCTCCTGGGTTTGCTGTGAAGATTAATGAGTTCATTATATGAAATTACTTTAAAAAGTGCTTGGAATGGAACATGTTATCAGAGGGTTAGCCACTCTTCCTATTATTATTATTATTATTATTATTATTATTATTATTGCAAGACACCAGACTTCCTCAGGAGCATGGATCCATTCATGAATTATTCAGTAATTATATATTGAATGCTGTATGCTTGTGCTGTGCCCCCTGCTGGGGTTGCAAGAGTAAACAAAATAGATAAGTCTCAGTACTCATGGAGCTTGGAGAGAGTGGTGGATTGGAGTGTGGGGCGGATCACAGACATTAAACAAGTAAATAAACTCAAATGCAGAACCATTGTGATAAGTACCAGGAAGCAATGTAAGGTGCTCTGAAGGTGTAAAACAGGAGAAAGAAGGGCACATAACCTAGTCCAGAAGACTGGGGCTTCCTCTGTACAAGACATTTAATCTGAGATCCGAGGATCACTAGGAGTTAGCCAGTGAGGTGGGGACAGGAGTGGGGAGGGAGAGATGGGCAAAGATGAGACTAAGACTAGATCATGCAGGGCTTTGGAACCAAGCTGAGGATTTTGAACCTCATTCTAAAGGCAATAGGAAGCCATTTAACATTTTCAAGAAGGGAAGTCATAAAACACAACTTGTATTTTGAAATAATTACTCTGGCGTTAATGGGGTGAATGGATTGGAAGAGACACAAGAAGTATCGTGTTGAAGCCATTAGGAAGCTATTGCCAGATCCATGTGGGAGAGAATGTTGGCCTGGACTAAGATGGTAGTAGTGGAGATGGAGATGGAGAGGAGTTGATGAATCTGAGAGATACTATGCAAACGGAATCCACAGGACGTGCTCTAGGTTAGGAACTCAAGCATCATCTTCTATCATACACCTGGAGTTTCCTCACAAAATAGGACCTGACTTGAAAATTAAACAAGTGAACAAAGGATAGAATGAGAGTCATTTTGGCTTCCCTGTGGCTTCTTGATTAATTTTTATGAGGTCCCTCTCTACTTTCTCCCCAAAATAGGGTGATTTTAAAGTTTAGGGAGCTACCTCTCACAGAATGGAAACTATAGTAAAGTGATCTTTTACAAAGATAATGTGAGAAGGGTTCCAATCACAGCTATGTCACTAATTGTGTGTTGCTTATTAATTAATATAAATATCCTTTTATCTTACTTTCCTCATATGCAAAAAAGACATAATAAAGCCAATCTCACAGGGCTGTTATGAGAATTAAATGAGATGGTATGTGGTTTATACCAAATATAGAATCTGACACAGAGCATCTAATAAACCATAACTTATTATTATTAAATTTATTCAGTATGATAGTAGGGATGCGGTAAAATAGTCAGAGGACATTGGATGAGGAGAAAATGGAGCCTGTGAAAGTCCATCTAACTTGTCTGGTTCTGTTCTCTTCCGGGCACATAGTAGGATTCCTCTTCTTGGTACACAGTGGCTGGATGTGGTCATATGACCAGTTCTGGCAAATGAGTATTTAGAGGAGGACCCACCATAGCTCTGGCAAACTGCAAGATGGTGGCTACTCCATCATCTGGGCCCATGAGTGATATGATGAGCACAGCCCGCCCTGCTGGCCCTCAGTAAACATGTACTCTGAGCAAGAAGTAAGCCATTGTTGAGTTAAGTCACTAAGATCTTGGGATATTTGTTACTGCAACAAAACCTAGCCAATCTTGATAAATACAGGAATGAAAATCAAACTGAATTTATGCTAGGAATGGATGTTGGTAGGCAAAACTTGGAAGAATTGAGAACTAGAGATATCTGCAAAAAAGCTATAGGAAGGTAAGACCAAGATGAGTCAGCCAAAGCCTACACGTTTACCAGAGGTTAAAGAACAAGTAACATTCATACGGGGCATACCAGTTCATAAAGCCCAGTAAGGGCTTTCCCATCTCAAAGAATGGTGCCACCATCACCAGATGCTCATTAGAAACCTGGGAGGCAGACTCCAGGTCCCTTTTCCTCACCACCCTCATTCATTCTATCAGGACATTCTTTTGGTTGTTTCTCCAAAATATATCTTTGAGTTTACTCTTGTTCTCCGTCATCACTGCCATTATCTTGTCCAAGCCGCTGGCTCTCTCACCTAGACCTTCTAATTGGTCTCCCTGCATCCACCTTAGCTTCTTAAAATCTAGTCACACACTTACAGTGAACCCTGGCTCCAGTTTAAAAACACTTCAAAGAATTCTAATTGCATAATCAACAAAATCCTCCTTATGGCCTAACAAGGCCTTGTGTGGGCTGGCCCTGCCTACCTGCCCACCTGCTTCTCACTAGCATTCGTTTGGTCCTATGTGGGTATCGTGCTCAGAGCCTTTGTGTATATGCCGCTTCCTCTCTTTTTCCCCATCTCTCTGTTGCTCCTTCCGGCCCCCTGTCATACTTCGGAGTTTGACTCAAGCGGTATTTACTTAGAGAGTCCTTCCCCTGACTTGACACAAGTGGCCCTCATCCCCCAACATTATTCTTCATCTCAGCCCCTTGTTTGTTTCTTTCCAAGTCCTCATCACAAGTTTCCTTGTTGATTCATCTAACCCTGTCACGAGTAGGGAAGCTCCAGAGAGCATGAATCCTCTGAGTCCTGTATCCCTGGCACCTGGTACAGTTTCTGCCGTGATTGGCACTGAATAAATTTATTAGTTGAGTAAACAAATGAGTGAGAAATGGCAAGTAGAGGCATTTAGAATACAAGGCAGAGATAACAAGGCACCAGAAGAGCTTTGGCAGGATAAACAACCCGAAGACTAGGATATCCAGGAGAAGCTGAAGAAAAGAGAGGCACCCATGTCACACCGAGAAACAAGGAGTAGAAAGAAGACAAAATTTCTTTCCACAGAGCTAAATTAGCCAAGGTGAGGATTTGCCAAGATCCTGGGACATCAGCAGAAGAGATGGTCTTCCTTGAGAGAAAGAAAGGAATCTAGAGCAGGGCTTTTCAAACTATCTTTGCTGAAAGACTAATTTTTTAAAAACAGTTTGTAAAATATAAGTGAAATGAATTAGAAAAATTATCATACTCTCAGATGTCGTGGCAATGTCACTTGCTATAAAATGTCTAGACATGTACTTTCCATTCCTTATCTCATCATAAGCGGACAGCTGTCCACAGACCACACTTAGAGTAGCAGCTCTCTGAAAGGATCCTGGCTGGGGCGGCCTAAAAGAGAGTGGACAGCAGGAGACCAGGGGGGCTGATCCATGCCATTTTGAATTGTATTTCAAAGAGTACAAGTTTGAGAGAGTGGAGACCTCAGTTCTGGGACCAATTCCACTCCTTAACTTGCTGTGTGACCGGCAAGCCACTTCCTGTCTGGGGCTCCAGTAAAGTAGGGAGTTTGGCTGATCTCTCTAAGTGGGATATCACCATCTCTAAAGCAACATGGGCTACAAACAGAAGGCATATGGCAGAGATGCATAGTCGTTTGGGCTGGAATAGAAAGATCTCTCAACATGTGAAACCTGAGCTGTTGCCTATAAGTGTTCTATTCTCTAAAACCTCCTTCTGTGCATAGTAAACATAAGTGTGTTTAATAATGTGACATTGTGACAATTACTATACTAATCCTATCACTATTACTATTCTGTAATTGGGATGTGGCATATTTAATTGCCTGAAAATGCAAATTTACTACAGAATAATATTTTGCATGGAAAGAAAATGGTATAAATTACTCGGAGTAGGGAAGCCCAGAATATGTTATTAATAAGGTCTTCTCCCCCTTTTTTTCCAGGGGAGAGAAAAATTTTCACATATTTTACTATATTTATGCTGGACTTTATCACCAAAAGAAGCTTTCTGAGTTCAGACTTCCTGAGGAAAAGGCTCCTAGGTAAGTGTCAGGAGTTTTAGTTGTTAATTCTTAATGAATATACAATGAGCAACGGACAAAACTTGGAAATAAATGGAGCTGTTTCCCTAACTGGACAGTCACAGTCTCTTTAGCTGAAATACTCAGGATGAGATGGCAGGAACTACATCTCACGGTTTGCATTTTCTAGAAAGTTCAAAACCTCAACTGCAGCCATTTTGCTCAGCCACATGCACCATTATTTCACTGCAGTATTAGACTGTAAGGGAAATGCCCTTGCAAAGAAGGAGCCCAATGATGCCCTGGTGTTTGAGGTACATTTTGCCAAGTCAATGTTCATTCTGTTTGTTCATACTCCATTTAGGTACATAGCTGATGAAACTGCAAGGGTGATGCATGACATAACTTCCAAGGAGTCTTATAGAAGACAGTTTGAAGCAATTCAGCATTGCTTCAGGATTATAGGGTTCACTGACAAGGTAAGTGATTGTCAGGAGAGGAAGAAACTCAAGTGTTAATACTCTTGGATCAGTGTGAGTGAAGACGTGAATGTTCTAACAGGGCAGGATGCTTGCTTTTCAAATGCCATACTGGTCAGGTTATAAGGTCTTACTATTCAAAGTGTGACCCAAGGACCAGAAACATTGTCATCACCCGAGAGCTTGTTAGAAATGCAGACTTTCAGGTCCAACCAAGAACAACTGAATTGGAGTCTGCATTTTAACAAGATACACAGGTGAACATTAAAGTAGAAGTACTGTTGTAAGTGCTATGTCTCTGTGAATTGTTACCATTGTCATCAGTTCACTACAGTCGTGATCACTAACACCAAAACAATACTGCCCTTTTCTGAGTTGGGCTTGTCCCAACCATTAAACTGAATTGTGTAATAGGAGTATAGGAATATGTAGGTTACACCCAAGCCACAGAAATATATTTATGCAGGTAGTTCCTTGCACACCAAGACAAATTAATTTAAACCTTTTCAACGTTCTTGCAATCACTTCCTTCTCCATGGTACACAGTTGCACATTATTAACTATAGCTCTAAGTACTGTACAGCTCTTATCTTACTAGATACAGGCTGTCTCTATTAAATATATGCCAGGGGTGACAGAAAATATTTATCACCCTAGGTTCAAATATTATTCTGTGATACATTTATGTTATAGTTTCTGGGCTTCATGCCATCAATTTTGCAAAATATACAGATTCTTTTGCTTTTCCAACAAAGGATGTGAATGATTAGGAGTAGGTGCGGGTGTTAAATCTTAAGGGATTAGATTACAAGACATTTGAGTTACCCTGGGACAGCCATCTGGATAAAGGATTGCTTCTGTAATCCAATGAGTTTGGTCAGCCCTTGCCTCTCCAGCATAGTTGATTTTAGTCATAATAATACCTTTCTTCTTTCTAGCTAGCTGTTCATTTTCTCTGTCGGCCTCCCATAGACTTTAAACCGACAGACAGTGGAAAATCCCAAAGGTCGGATAAAAATAGAAGTATATTTCCTATGACTTCTTAGAGCAGAACAATTAAACAGGTTCCAGCATTGTTAAAGAACCTTTATGGTTATTAATTTATGGAGCTGGTTGTTATCAAAAATGCGTCACCAGAAGAGTCAAAGCAAGGTGGAGATGGCAGTAGAGCCATTTAATGGCTCTGGGTCATCCTAAAGTATTTAGGGGCATACTTCTGTAAAAGAGTACAGGAACAATAAAGAAGTCAGCCATAGAGTTAATAATATTTTGCTTTCGATGAGTACCAAGATGATTATAGAATACATGAAGAAATTGGTCCTGGCTCTAAAAGAAAGTATATAATGGCTCTGTTCTAATAATAGAAATGTACTGCAAATAATAATAAAACAGATACTGTTTTAAGATAACAAAATTAAAAGCAAAACAAATTAAATATGCTAAATATATGTCCTTGAAGTAAGCCATCCCTAACCCTTGTGGAAAAAAAGTACAGTAGAAATGAATGAATGACTGCATGAGTAAATGTGAAAAGAAAGCACTGTAAAAGGTGGTTTTTTGTTTTTTTTTTAGCTTTCCAAATACCAACATTTATTTAAAGGCAATAACAAAAGAGGTGTTGAATTCTACTAATGTCATAGAGCTTAGTTCCCAGAAAGGTGTGCATTCATACTCCATTTCCTTCACGGAGAAAGGGTCAGCTTACCTCTCCGACTAAAGGATTTCAATAAAATAGAATTGCCTGGTTTTTTTTTTTTCCAGTTTCTTCTTCTTTTTTTTTTTTTATTTTTTGTTTATTGCAGTAACATTGGTTTATAACATTGTATAAATTTCAGATGTACATCATTATACTTCTATTTCTGCATAGATTACATCATGTTCACCACCCAAATACTAATTACAACCCATCACCACACACATGTGCCGAATTATCCCTTTCGCCCTCCTCCCTCCCCCCTTCCCCTCTGGTAACCACCAATCCAATCTCTGTCTCTATGTGTTTGTTTGTTGTTGTTATTATCTACTACTTAATGAGGGAGATCATACGGTATTTGAAGGTGGTCAACATTATTAATTTGTATGTGGTCTGAACCGTTAAATGAATGACCAGAATGTAATTATGTGTATATGTGTGTATGTTCACCGTGTCTGTGTCCCATATTAATTCATACTGGAAATAAACCAACTTATGTCAGTTAGCAACCTTGGAAATGGAAGGAAGAGGCTGGATCTTATCTCTCTGATGCTAAATTCTTTGGTTATATCTTTGTCTATATCTCTATAGACAATCTGTTTTGCTGAATTAACTCAGTTCACTTTATATTTATAAACTCAAAGTAGTTTGACTAAATTCAGAAAGATTCAGTTGAATGTAGTCAGGCAGCAGATGCCAAATAGCTGCTCTAAAGAACTTCTTAAGTTTTTCTGAGGGACATTTCTAGACAGAGCTTTAATGAATTGGTCAGTTTAATTAAAACTATTGTTCCTGTCCTTTCTTGTAATGTCACTAGTTCCCTGCAGGAATCTCCTCAGTTTTTCCCAAACCCTTATAGAAAAATTAGGAGTAGCACATCTTAATGTGGACTCAGGAGCATAAATTTTAATTCTGGGACATCAGCCAAAAGTGTCTGAAAGAACACTTGACCCTGAGTTTAATGTAAAGAAACTTCCCTGGTAGAAGGAGTCATCCACTAGCAATGACGGTTCCTTGTAGGGGCCTGGAGGGATTATACCTAAAACCCTATTATGGAGATCAGTGCTTTTCAACTCCTATTTTTGGGGTCAAACCATACTATTTTTGTTTAATATTATGCTTTTTTTGCTAGTATATGAATCATCATAGCATATTAAATAAATTGATTTTTATGTGTGTTTATATTTAATAATACATAAAAACTTTTTTGGCAAATATCCATGTGATGGTCAAGATTGGACATTTACTGCAGATCCCTTGATAAAGAGGTTAGGGAGAGGGCTTTGAGATTAGGGCAAATTTTTTTCCCTTTTTTCAAAATAGGTTACAAATTTGGAAGAGTACTGCTAAAGAGACTCAAGGTTATATGTTAAGATGTAAATTGGGGGTCTAGAGGATTTCCATTGTCTCAGTGACAGACAATAGGACTTACCATTGACTTTTTTAAACCACTTTATTGATGTATGATTCATAGAAAAAAGATTTTTAAACCAACCATTGGCTTTTAAGATACAAATGTTGTGAGCCTCTGAAAAGAAAACTGAGTAAAGGTGTTGGAATAGAGCCTGTAAGGAAGAAGGCCCTTCAGCTGGGCCTAATGCAGTGCTTAGGGCAGAACTGGTGCAAAACCAGAGACTTATAAACAAGAAGCAAGGTAAAGAGAAACTGAGGGCCGGCCCCGTGGCTTAGCGGTTAAGTGCGCGCGCTCTGCTACTGGCTGCCGGGGTTCGGATCCCGGGCGCGCACCGACGCACCGCTTCTCCGGCCATGCTGAGGCCGCGTCCCACATACAGCAACTAGAAGGATGTGCAACTATGACATACAACTATCTGCTGGGGCTTTGGGGAAAAAAAGGAGGAGGACTGGCAATAGATGTTAGCTCAGAGCCAGTCTTCCTCAGCAAAAAGAGGAGGATTAGCATGGATGTTAGCTCAGGGCTGATCTTCCTCATAAAAAAATAAGAAAAAAAAAAGAGAGAGACTGAGACGGCAAGTAAGTTCCTAGGGAGGTACCTGAGAAACAACTACCATGAGATGCCTGTGAATCAGACCAAGGGCGATTTCCTTAAATTAGGTCCACGACAGAGAAAGCCAACGTTCTTCTCAATTTTCTGCTTAGCCTCAACTTTATTGAGAGAATATCTACATCAGTAAAAGGAGTGCTGTCTGAGAAAAAGAGAGAAGAAGCAAATACCATATATCCTGCATGGGGCTTTGATGGAGAAGGGCTCTTTCTTCTCTACTTTTGCTGATTGGTGGTGAAACTGAATTCATATTCATCAAAAATGAATTAGGAAACCCAGCTGGAGGAGTTAGTCTTCTTCATAATATATCCTGTCCTGAGTGAAGTTATTACATTTTATCATATAGAAAGTTGGAAACCGATAAGAAATAAAAAGATAGAGCATCATAGCAAGATTCTGTAGCAAAGGCAGGGATGCCAGGAAAGGCTCCATAGCTGGAGATGAAGCAAGAGAAAATAAGCAAGGTGAGGAAGGTAAAAAATTCTTCCCAGGCTGAATGTGGGGAGAAAAGAAGAGACATTTGATTAAGAAGTATTGGGGAGGGAGGAGTAATCCCACAGATGGATATACTGCTGATTGAACTCTACTGTGACTGTATATGGGTGATGTTTTGACCTGAACAGAGTGGATGTAGGTTCCTAGGCCAGAAAGGAAGAACTAATTAACCCAAGGATGGGACTAAAGGAATCAAATGGAATAGCCTAGAAATGTAGCATAGGGAGCACCCTAAGGCTAATACCTCCATAATGAGGTGAGCATTTGATACCCCTTCCTGAGTTCCCCTCACTGAACCAAGGAAGGAGACCCAGCCTTCCTTAACCATTAACTTCAGTCATTCACATAGTGTTTGAACCCTAAAAAGTTTTTGCTGAAGGTTATAGGTAGTTTTCCTTTTTGAAAGAGGAAATGTCTGAGCATTGTGCTGAAGAGGATGTTGGCGGAGAAGCAATGGGGCAAGAACCACCATTTCCTGTGGGGATGATCACCCCAGTGGTGAAATGCCTGGAAGCCTTATTTTAGGAGGTTTCGTGGCTTGTACTATCATACATGGTGTGTGTGTTTTAATTAGAGGAAATACATTTTTTCCCCTAAGTGTATTAAGAGTTTTAGATAAGCTCTTGAGATAACTGGATATAGAAATAACAGATATAGAACTCACTGCTGTTGAGTCCCTGTTTTAGCTTGGGAAATCTTCCTCCGTGGGAAGTTGCTGGATGCATTCTGCAACCTCACACTGTATTGATCAAGGTAATGAGGTGTTGTCATGTTAACTTCAGCCTAGTCCCAGAAAACCCATTTAGTAGGTGTTCTCCTTAGCCAGTCTTAAGTTGTGTGATTAAAACAATGATTCTTGACGTCAGAAACATGATACCTTGCCTTTGATTTAGAAGTTTGAAGAACAATATTTATCTACAGTAGAAACCCAGTTTAAAATCCTCATTTATCTTTGTAGCATTATGAGGTATCCAGCAGACGTCACTATTACAGTCCGTGTTCAGTTTTTTGGCTTTACTGAGTAAGGTTTACAGAAAGGCTCAATATGGGGAGAATGCTTTATCAGTGGTCCAATGACAGTTCCTATTAGTTTGCTGCTATGTAGAGTGCTAAATCAAGTGCCCCACCTGAGTATTTTTTATGGAAGTACTTTTCTCTATCTATAAGCATAAGATACAGAAATTTCCTGGCTGTATATTTCACTGTCTCACCTACAGGAAATGCAAATGTTTAAGTAAATAAATGTACATTATTTTTTACCATTAATGCTATGGTTTTTTTTTTACCACTAATGCTATGTATTCAACTTTTAATATAAAAATAGGAATTACATCATCTGAACTGTTTTTACTCACATGACTTCTGAAACCAAATGTGTGGAGTTTTTTTTCCCACAACCACCAATTCTGCTATAATTCAATTCAATTCTGACACTGTCTACCTGGAGTTAGCATCAGATCACACGAGTTAGGGGGTCAGTCCCACAAGACTGCCTCCACTTCAGACACCAATCACAAGTCCCAGAGTTCTCCTACTTTTAACCAACCAGCTGTAAATTGGGGGTTTCCAAGACCCCGTCCTAGGTTTCAGTAATTTGCTAGATGAACTCACAGAACTCAGGAAAACAGTTTACTTACTCCTACTGGTTTATTATAAAGGGTACAACTCAGGAACAGCCAAATAGAAGAGACAGACGCATAGGGCAAGGTATTGGGAGAAGGGGGCGCCACCTCCTCTCACCACCTTCATGTGTTCACCAACCCAGAAGTGCTCCAAACGTCATCAGTTAGAGGTTTTAATGGAGGTTCCATTACATAGGCATGACTAATTAAATCATTGGCCATTGGTGTTGAACTCGATCTCTAGCCCCTCTCTCCTTCCCTGAGCAGGGGAAGGGATGTGTGGCTAAAAGTTGCAACCCTTTAATCACATAGTTGGTTCCTCTGGCAAACAGCCCCAACCCTCCAAGAGTCACCTCGTTAGCACAGACTCAGGTAGGGTTGAAACAGGCTTATTATGAATAATAAAGGACATCTCTCTCATCCCTTTCACTCAGAAAATTCTAAGGGTTTTGGGTGCTCTTGTGCCAGAAATTGGTATCAAGACCAAATATGTATATTTCTTATTATATCACGATATCACAGATAACTTCCAGTGAGTCTTTCAAAATATTGCCCGACCTCATTTATAACTATATAATCCCTCATTTAACTTCAAAGTGTTCTAATGACCATCAGTGAATGCCCTGCCAACTATTTCACAAAAGCTATATTCAAAAGAGGTTAAGGAAACATCTCCTCTCTTGTTTTGACGAAAGAACCACACCTGAATTTGGGAGCTGGTTTTAGTTAGGGTAAAAGGCTAAAAGTGGCTTAAAGAACAAAGATCAGTTCTCTCTTATATAAGCATTCCAAGGTAAGAGGTTCAGGTTGCAGAGTAACTGTGTTCCATGCAATCATTGGTCTCTGGCATCCTAATCAATGGCGTGGTTGAAGCTGGGTTGCTGGAAAGAAAGCAAGGAGGAGGCATGCTGTCTTCCGTAGGCCAGGCCCAGAATTGGTCCACATCATTCCACTTGCTCCTTGGTAAGGCCACCCCTGACTGTGAGGGAGGTTAAGAAATTTGTGTGCCCTTGAAAAGGGGGACGATGGACTTGGGTGGACAACCAGTAGTTTCCACCACAGTACTAGTGGTTCATTAGCCTGATTAGCAATCACCTTCAAACATGGTTCTTGATGTCCTTTTCAGGAGGTGCACTCAGTGTACAGAATTTTGGCTGGAATTTTGAATATTGGAAACATTGAGTTTGCAGCTATTTCCTCTCAACATCAAACTGATAAAAGTGAGGTGCCCAATGCTGAAGCTTTGGAAAACGGTAATTATTTGATGCCTGTGCACTGTGTTGTCAGAGTACATGTTTCTTTCACTTTGGTAGTTTTTCAAGACTCTGTAAAATATATTGAGGCTGTTGCTGGCTCTTCTGCCGGCACTCGGTGTTTTCACTAACCAGTATTTCCCAAAGACATCTTGCAGAACACCAGTGTTCTTTCCATAAGCTGCAAATAGGTGTTCTGCAGAAAAGAATTCCGCGGCGGGTAACTTTGGGCAGTGGTTCTCAATAGTGGCTGCTTTTGAAAATCATCTACAAATTTTTGAAAAAAATAGAAGAGGTTGGACCCCACTCTGAATCCACTGAATCAGCATCTGCAGAGTAGAAAGCAGGCACCTATCTATTTTTAAGATTCACAGGTACTAATGAGGGCATAAGGAATGAGAATCCTGAGTTAGAAAACAACTAATTTAAATAAAGTAAACACTTTTTGTGTTAAACTGCAGCACTTTTTATGGCCTTTATTATATTAATGTGCTTTGTGACTCTCTAAGAGGAGACTATAGTCTCCAGCAATTGGTCCAACATTTGACCAAAGACCACCTCCACCTCCTCCCACTTTTTTTCATCTAACCAGTAAAGAGCTTTCAGAACAGTTTGGGAGAAACTGTGTCAATCTGAATGCTTCTTGGGGTTAGGGACCTGGCTTGTTTATCTTTGACTCTGAAGTGCCAAGGATAGAGCCTGGCACATAGTAGATGTTGAATAAATGATGGGTGGCTGCTAGCTGAATGGGTAGATAGATGATTACATTCTCCAGTATCCTTGCTCTTTGTTCCAGCTGCCTCTGTTCTCTGCATCAGTCCCGAAGAGCTCCAGGAGGCACTCACCTCATACTGTGTGGTCACCCGGGGCGAGACTATCATCCGCACCAACACCGTTGACAGGGCTGCGGACGTCCGAGATGCCATGTCCAAAGCCCTGTATGGGAGGCTCTTCAGCTGGATTGTAAATCGCATCAATACACTCCTGGAGCCTGAAAAAAACATTTGGCAAGTTCCCCCAGGGAGCAGGGGCCTCAGGAGAGCTGTCATCGACCCCGGTGTCTCTTAGAGTTTGCAAGAGGAAGCTTTTGGTCCTCTCTTGGGTTTTCTTTAGCGAAGCTCTCATGCCTTCTTCTTTCAAAGACACAGTAGGATCCAGAAGAGCTGAAGTGTTTATACCTGAAAGGCACATGATTGACAGAGCCATTATAGTGTAGTGCTTAAGAAAACAGGCTTGGCTGGGGGCTGGACCAACTGGGTTCACATTCAAGCTCTACAGCTTAATGAGCTGCATGTTCTAAGTCATGGTTTTCTCATTGGTAAAATGAGGATAATAATATTCTCCCCATAGTGTTGCTTTTAGAATCAACTGAGACACTTCATAGAAAGTTTTAAAGCACAGTATCTTACATTATTACTGCTACTACTTTTTCTTTCCTAAGCGTTAGTGGTTTCTGTATTGTGGAAGAATTGACAACATCACATTCAAAATAGTGTTCTTCCAATTAAGCTTTGTGGGTGGGAAGGTGGGAGAATAAATGAGCAGCAGCTCCAGCCCCTTCAAACAGAGTGGTTCTTCTTTAATCTCTCTCTATATGGAGCTTCTGAGTAAGATTTTAAAGGATTCTACTGCTTTAAAAAAGAAATTGGAAATACTGTTGAAGACTAAAGGAACGAAAGGCTTAAGACATAAACTGTTTCTTCCCTTAGAGGCGGCAGGATGCTGCTTTCCACGAGTGGGTATATGTATTAATAAGGCCTCGGGCACATGTGTTCTCATTGTCCTGAGTTGGATGTTTCCTCCCCTAAAGGGTTTTCTTCTTCTCTCTCATGCAGCAGTGCAGTCAATGGTATGAATGTGGGGATCTTGGATATTTTTGGATTTGAGAACTTTCAGAGAAATTCATTTGAGCAGCTCTGCATAAATATCGCCAATGAGCAAATCCAGTACTATTTCAATCAGCATGTTTTTGCTCTTGAGCAGGTAATAATGAACTCTGAAGTCACTAAACCTGATGGAAGGGGGGGTGTCTTTAGGCTGCCCCAATTTGAAGCAGAAACCCTGTTAGTTAGACAAACAGGTAAAAGGCTCTAAAGAAAAAAACCACTGGTGTGTCAGTTTTGTCAAAATAAAGTCTAAATTAAGTCTGAAAAAAAGAGGTCTTGATTTCTGCGGAAAGGTACATTTCCTCTCGAGTGCAGCTGGTGACATGCCAATTATTTTAATATTGCTTCCAAACTGTTTCATGTGTATTGCCCAAAATGCTGCATTCTCTTCTACTTTATTTAACTAAAAATATCTATTATTGTGTCTAAAATGACACAAGATGATCTTGAATTCAGGACATGGGTTCTTGTTGTTTTCGACAGTGGTTCTCAACACTGGCTATGTAACTCCCAAACTGGCCATCCCCATCCCCTGTCTTCTGCACACCAGAACCCCCAGGAGCTAGAGGGGTGTCTCCAGGGAAGAGTAAGATATGTTCTTGGTTTTCTCAAAATGGAAGTCTTTCCCCTATGAGTTTGATGGTTAATAAAACAGGGTGTGAAGCTAGCAGATTTAAGGCCCTTCTCCTCCACCCCACCCCCTAACCCAACCCCAAGACTCTTCTGTATGAAGTAGTTGCAATAATGAAACATTCTGACCAAGCTTTTTGTTTTAACACAAGAGTGAGGACACAAACTATTCTGTGATTAGATAAACACAGAGACATGGAGTTAAAATACCAGCAATAGTTTTATCACTGGAGCTGGATAAATGTGTATTGCATTCCTCTCTCTGCCCACCCTGCACAAAACTCGACTTTTTTTCAGTCCACCTTCCTTCCATTTATTTCCCTGGGAAATATGGAGTTTTTCTAGTTTTTCAGTCCAAGATGATTCCCTTGCAGAATCCTTTGCAGAAGATAGAAGTTTCCTGGTGTAAACCGTACTTGTCACCAAGATAAATTTTTTTTCAATTTCTCTTCCTCTCTACATCCGTTTATAAATTATGAGTTACCAAGTTGGTGTTTGGGAGATGGAGAGCTATCCCTTCTTTTGCCGGCTTCAGCTGCCTGCCACAGGCCACCCGTAGGTCAGACTTAAACCCAAAGCTTCAACAGTGTTATATGCACAAGAATACTTTCCTACTCATAAAACACACCCTGTTTTCCACACGCGTTCAGTGCTGCCAGACACAGAAAGTGCATGCTAAAGCAATCTGGTTGTGCCTAGGTCAGTTTTGGGCTGGAGAAACTCACAATCCCTTTCCTTCCAGATGGAATATCAGAATGAGGGCATTGAGGCTACACCCGTGGAGTATGAGGACAATCGCCCACTCTTGGATATGTTCCTCCAGAAACCCCTGGGACTGCTTGCACTTTTGGATGAGGAAAGTCAGTTTCCCCAAGCAACTGATCAGACCCTAGTTGGTGGGTAACTTTTGGAAAAGACATGGATGCTCAGAAGAGAACTTGCCTCATGTCATCAAATGAGCGTGGTTTAAATAAATCTATCCTGCGTGTTTTGGCCACCCAGTGGGTTATGAAAGTATAGACCCTGCTTTTAATGAGTTGAAATGTTCAGCAACTGTCCTGGTAGAATTTGTGTCTTAAAGCAAACCCACCACCATCTCTCAAAGCCTGTTCACTTTCCTATTTATGCAAATGGAAATACTATTACTCTATATCAGTATCACTTTTACACCTTTTTCTTTATTTCCCCTAACCAATACTTGCTTTTTCTCCTTTTCATAGCCTTCTGTCATATCTCTGCCTGGACCCCCATCAACCTCTAGTCCAAGTTTGTATAAAAGCCTCATCTGGTATCCTGGCTACCAGGCTCATAGTCTTCCCCTCTACCATGGACATCCCAGCTAATTTAGGTTTTCTAAAGCCACCTTTTCGTTCTACTGGTATCTGTGGGATAATGAGTAGATGCCTCCTCCTGGCGTTAAAGGCCCTCTGTACTTTACCCCTGTTCCTCTTGACCTCCTTTTGCTCAAATCCAGTGTTGCACATGACACTGTCCTTCACTTAGATTGTGAGATGCTTGGGGCAGCAAAGCCCCAATCCTCGCATGCCTTTAGTACTTAGCATGGTTCCTCACACAGAGTAGGCTCTCAATCACAAGTACAATGGCAAAATTGTTTGTTGAGGGAGCAGCAGAAAGTTTCAAGCCTTTTCCCCAGATGGAAAATTGATTTGTGGGAGAGATTCACTTCTAGAAGTTGAGATTGTCACCTTCAGTGGTTCCTCTTATCTATAAAGTTGTTACAAGTCGCCAAGGTGTTTAAACTGGTGCTTTTTGGCTTCCATGTCTTTATGGTTCTAAAGCTAGTTGGCTGAACTACTGGTGTCGTCAGTGTTCATGCTAGGAGTTCTTAGAGAGAGCAGAGCATGAGATCTTAGGGTACAGCCTGACACTAAAAACAACATGAAACAACTGAATGAGGACTCAATTGTAAATGCCCACCTTACAGGGGATCTTTCTCCACCATTGTACATACAATGATAATATCAGGCTACTCAAAGCCCTTATTTTGTGTCACTCATGGCTGGAAGAGCACATTTTTGTTTGAAAGGGCAAACAATTCATGTTGTAACTTTTAAATGTGAAAATCCACACAGATAAATTTGAAGATAATCTACGATGCAAATACTTCTGGAGGCCCAAAGGAGTAGAGCTGTGCTTTGGAATTCAGCACTATGCTGGAAAGGTGAGGCAAGTGTGAGTTATTAAACCTGAATTTGACAAGGGGTAAGTGTCTATATTACCCTGTCTGAGCCGCTCACAAAATTGCTTGCAGATTTCTTTCTCCTTTTAATTCTTCCTGAACACCTAATCATAATTCCCAAACTTCCTCAGTGGTGCCGCTCACAGAAAGTTGCCCCTGGCAAAGAAGCAATTTCTCGCTGGGGTGGCCCACAGAACCACCATCTGCTTCTCACCTGAGGTGTGGCCCAGAAATGACAGCTCTCCAGAGAGAAAACATATTATAGCTTTTGCAGTGTTTAGCGGTGAATGTTCACATTCTAAAGTCATTTGGAGATGTGTAGGTAATGGAGAAGGGTTAATATCACAGTGGGGCTCAATTTTTAGCACTTTATGTATATGTCTACAGGGCACCAAAAATGTCTAGATGAAAAGGAAAAAAAATTTCACTTCATCATCCAGATGTTAAGCTTTTACAACATTAACTGAAATTTCCACCTTTCATATATTATTCCTCAGTCTCAATTTCAGGTTCCTGAAGCAGATTAGTGACTGATTCAGGAAATTCTCTAGTCCTGTAGCCAACAACTCATTGCTTGAGTAACTCTCAAAGGAGCCATTTGAATTGTGGCTAATTGGTTCCGGTGGGGTCTGCTAAGACCTTGGTTCCAGAAAATGGATAGGAGTTCAATAGAAGGCATTTGGATTATTTCGTTGATTTAATATTTATCAAAATTATTTTTCACATTCATATCATGACATTGAAATTAATTTTGCCCAACTGGAAGTTGGTTGAAAGGCAGTTCTAACACAAGTAAAGGGGATTGTTTTTCTCTCCATGTAGTGTATGGTATCTATTTCGGATCTTCATTAGAAATTGCAATCCCGTTTTTACCCCTAAATGCTTCATTTGCCTTAGCGTTGATGTCTGACTGCATATTAATCTCCTCCACGTCTGAGGTACTCGCATCTACCCTGATCCCCGCCCCCATTCTCCTCGTCTGCCTCCCTTTCCTGTCCCGTTCCTCACACTTCTCTTTCCATCTCTCTGTCCTTTTACACCTGTTTCCTACCCACCCCTTCTCCTCCTTTTTCCCTCTTCTTCTTTCTTAATTTTAAGGGAAAAAAGGATCCTTTTCTCCCTGGGTTCTGTGTCTTTTCCTGAATTCATTTGCCACTTAATGCTTATTTCTCTGGAGTAGTCCTTAAAATTTCTCTGACCTGGATCCCCTCTGTTCTGCGAACTTCTCAGCTCAGCATCCCTGAACACTCCCTTGGGTCCTGTGAGTACCTTGGGTAGCAGTGAGAGTACAGTGGGTATAAGCATGGAGCCAAACTGCCTGGGTTTTGATGTCTGCCCACCACTTGTGAAATGTGTGACCATAGGCCTCTCTCTAAGCCTCTGTTTACCCTCTAGTAAAATGGAGATAATAATAGTGTTTACCTCGTAGGATGGATGCTTTACATACAGTGAGTGCCCAATATATTTCCATAATTATTCTGATGTGATATAGCTTTGCTATGACTCTTTTCTTCAACTGAACAAGAAGTTAAAATAAACTGGCCTGTCAAAAATTACAACTTTTTCCCCTTATCTGGTGGTCTGGATTTAAATCATGGCTGTGTCAGGATGAATTCTATATGGAGGTCAATTAACGACTGACCTCAGACAACTTGCCACTGTCACCAACAGTGGACAGTATTGGCTAACTTGCGATTTGCTATTCGTGTTGCAGGTATTATATGATGCTTCTGGGGTTCTTGAGAAAAACAGAGACACTCTCCCTGCCGATGTGGTTGTAGTCCTGAGAACGTCGGGAAACAAGCTTCTTCAGCAACTCTTCTCAATCCCTTTGACCAAAACAGGTACTTGGAACCCCCCTGACAGCCCTGGGCCAGATGCTTCTATAAGCCCTGCTGGGATTTTCCAGTTAGGGTCTAAATACTGCCAGGGCTACACTACTAACATTTTGAACTTTAAGCAGGAGCAAAGGTCTATCCAACTAAGTTCAAAAAAAGGAAAGTGATTATTTCTTTTGCAATTTAATTGCACAGCATCAGTATATATATACATGTGTACACACACACACACACACATACATATTTTCCATAACATCAACTCTTAGACTTCTCATTTTCCCTGCCTGCCTCTTTTCATTCTTTCATTTCCAAAACCATGTGTTATCAATTCGTGCTGAACACTCTAGGGTGGTCTCAGTTTACCTAGAATTATTGGGTAGATTATTTCTATTCATGTGTGATGCCAAGTGAAAGGAGGGTGGTGAGTCAAAGGTCATCCAATCATGGGGTCCTCAGAGGTCGCCTGGTCCAACTTTCCCACCCAATTGTCAACCCACCCCACCACTCTCCTAACCAACTAGGAACAGGTCCATCACTGGCCTACGTACACAGCCTTCACCTACTTACAGTCAACTTCTGTTTAGTTGCTTAGTCAGTCTTCATGCCAGAAAGCCGGAAACCAGGGCCGAAGAATGGAACTTCCTGGTCTTTGCTGTTTTGCCAAATTGGTTCTAATTGTGTCAAGCTCCTTTGATTTACCTGGGATTCTGCTGCCTTTGTCTGGGCAGCCAATTTGATCTTCTTACGGCTTTCCTTTCAAGGAAAGGAAACAGCTGTGGTGTCTGGAAACAGCTGTGGGTATGCTTTTAAGAAAGGAGGGGGAAACCTCTTTATCGTTGTTCATAATTCCCTTTTCTTTCTTCCCACATCTCTCTTGAAATTATTGGCACCGAAGTCTAGCGTGGGGCCTTTGCATGCTAAAAAAGAGTGCCTGCCAGGTCTGATTTTTAGCAACATGTGAAGGAATGAAAATCTTGGCCAGGAAAAAAGCCACAGTCTATAACCTTTGCTTCAACTTAACTTGGATGGAAAGTTGAAACCAGATTCTTAACTTTCTTTAACGTGCTCCTTTAAACAAAAATAGTAGAGTGCCCATCAGAATGCTGCCCTACAGCTTCCTCTCCAGACTTCCTTTGGGCACAGCCAGGATTTGATTTATTATCGACTCCTGGGAGAGCGTGGGCAGGTCTGGGCAGGGAAATGCTGCCTCAACAGACACTCATCAGGCGACTTCTGTACAGAAGCAAAGACAAGGCCATTATTGATAGGAGACATACTCTTTGAAATGAAATATATACAAATGATTTGTCAGCTGGCATTTACACTCTCCCATAAGTAAGAGTAACGACTTGTCAAATCTGTTCACAACTTTGCAATTGACAGTTACTCAACTTTTGGCAAAATAAAAACAATTTCAGAGCCTTGGCCACTAGGTGGCGTTATGCAAGCAGTCAGGCTCCACAGCCAGCCTTGTGTTTGCCCTTGATCGCCTAACCAAGGGAGGAACAGGAACAAAGAGATAGCCTCCCCTTCTTCTTCCTTTTTTTTTTTTTGGCTTTCCTCTTGTCTTGTAACTCTGAATCGTGCCCTGAAACTGCGCTCCACACTACCTGGAGGAAACAAAAGTGAAAAATAAGACGAGAAACAAACATGTTTTCCTGACAAGCTTCCTTGTATTCCTGAGTCTTTTGTTATGCATAATAATTTCTTTTGAAATCCTAAGCTTAATTTTCTCCATACTTTGAGTATAATTAAGATGCCACGAGTACACATCAAAACTAATAAGCATAAATCTGTTTTCTTTTTCTGAAATTATTTATGTAAAAATGCCTTCAATCAACAAACATTTATAGAAGAGCTTCTAATAATAAGGCACTGTTCAGGCAGCAAAGGGGATATATAGATAAAAATAATATGGCCCTGCCCTAAAGCAACTGGAACTTTCTTTCACTTTCACTTTCTCTCTAAAATTGGGCACTAATTTATCTCCTTATGACGATGTTTGCCCTCAAACCTCAGTTCTAAAGAGATTGTACATCCTGTGTTGAAGTTCAGAATGTTAATTAAGCTTATAAATTTTAAAACATTCATATTCTATATTTTTAGGTTTTATTATATTATAGCCTTTGAAGGTGGGAAAACCTTACTGGATAGAAATAGGTGGTGCTGTTTTTGCTGAAATTGCAAATACTTGTTTTAGGCATATGCCCCTTATGAAGGTAGATGTGCTGTACATCTCAGCATTCTGGCTGGAAGCAAGGTCCCACACATCCTAGCATTTTGGAAAAGAATATGCTGATATTTTTCGGTGCACAAGAAACCTTTTTTGTTTTGGTCATTTTTATTTTTATTTATCCTGCATCAAACCCTTAAATAATTGTTTTATTAAAATTAAATGGAGTGCTAGTTCAGTGAGCATGGATATTATAAGCAATTACTTTACAAACCTCTTTTGGAGGATGAACTACAGGGAAGAAGGAAAAACGTCAAAGTTGGGAAGTCTAGGAGGCTATTAGCTCCAAATTTAAAAAAGATGTCCAGTGTTGGACTCCTCACTTTTGAGAAGTGAGACCCCTACAGGATGTTGGCAATGCTCTGGTTTCTCGTCTTGGTGGCGGTTACATGGATGTTTGCTTTATAATATTCATTATGCTCTACGTTCATGTTTTGTACACATTTCTGTACATGCATTCTATTTCACAATAGTACTTTTATTTTCCAAGAAAATAGAGAAGACATCTTAAAATGCAAAGAAAACTTTAATTTCTTTGTCTAAGATTTCCTGTCCAGTTAAGTTGAGGTTTCCTTGTAGTTAGACTGCTGCCGTCATTTGCTTCCAAACGCAGGTGTCAGAGAGCCTCCGGCTGACACTCCTGGCTTTTTAAGTCAGCCTCCTCTCTGGGCTGCTGGGCAGGTGACAATCCCTTCACTAGTGGATAACAAACAGAACTGTTGGTCCTTGGTTTAATCTCTTATCAAGGTTGAGAGGATTAACCTCTGTGTGTGTTTGTGTAAACCCATAATATAAAATTAGAGAGAATAATCCAATTGACATTTTCCTATTTCTTGTACTTACCTTCCTGTTCACGTTGAAATCCCAAAATAATGAAAAGGTTAAAAAACATAGGGAGTGGAATCATGAAGCCCAGGGTCATCAGGAAATAGGGCTCCTTCCAGGTTTCTGCAGCCCCCTTGCCTTCTGCTGGCACACAGCTGCATCTGGTAGTGGAGACGCCTATGCCTGAGGGGCACATGCTCATTCCAAGATACTCAGTGACCATCAGGTAAACAGAGGCAGCCACAGTCAATATAGATTCTCTCTGTTCCTCTCTCATACTTGGGGGACCACTCTTTTGCCTGTAGATGGGCCACTTCAGATATGATGACATTTTCCTTATAATCTTGCCTATTGATAAGAAGTTCTCTGAAGATTTTATGTGTGAAAATTTGATGTGGCAGCAACACTGCTGTCTAAGCCTTCAGCTGGGATTTTTGAAAACTTAATGATCTGGGTAGAAAAATATTAAAAGGAAAGATGTTATAACAAGGTTTTATGGCATATTTTCCTGTTTGGGGAATGTTCCACTTGCTACTAGTAAACCAGAGAAAAGTTCAAAAGGCTCAGGGGAGGAAAGAGAAGAGGAGGTTTCAAAAGAAACTTGAAAAATCCATTTCTGTCTTTAAATCATGAATTCTGACTTCCATATAGTAGTTTGGGGTTTTAAAGGAGTTAGGAACTTGAGAGAAACTAGAAAAAACAAGAGTAGCACCAGAGAGAACATTCTCTGAGCCCCAAAGTCTGGGTTTGCTTCAGAATCTAGAACTGAGTTTTGCTCCATTGCCTTCCTCTGTCCAGACTCTCAGGTCTCTCCCTTGGAATTTGATTTGCAGTAAAAACCAACAGTTTCTCTATCTTGACTTCCACTGGCTCCTCCTTTTATTTGGATGGGGAGGGGGCCAAGATGAGCCCCCACGTTATATCTGTAAAGCACTATAACGCCTTCACTGCTAAAATATTTGCCATTAATTGTCTGTTCCTGATTCTATAACTCTCAAAATTCAGCATCAAGCTCTTAAGAGGATACTTTAGGTAACCATCTCGCAGAGCTTTCATTTTCCCCTTAAGGCTGCTTCTCCATCCTGGCAGTTCAGCAAATGGGTCTGGCAGTATGAACTGACTCTAAGTGACAAAGTTCCAGGGTCCCAGCCAGACATGGACAGTGCTCAGCTCCTCCTGAAACGGAGGCTCTAATGAGCCAACCCTGCCAGGGAGCCCTGGGGAGTGAGTACTTCCTCACACAGAGGCCTGTCTCTTTCTATGTAATTTGAGAGTGCATTTCAGTCAATAGATAATTCTATATTCAGCGTCTATCTAGATATGGTGCTATGCATAAGTGCTTTCTAGAAGGAATAAAAGAAAATCCAGCCAGAACAGTCAGGGACAGATATTCCCAAATCATAAAAGGTATAAAGGATGCACAAAAAATGTAAATTCTGAACAGGCATGTAAATCAAATGGCAGCAATATAAGCACTATGTCTAGACAAGTAAAAATAGAAGGAAAAGTCATGGACACATCAGGGTCAACATGGAGAAAGACTTCTTTTAACTAAGAAAGCCTTCTTAGTAGAGATTTTTTTTTTTTTGAGTATGAGACTGGAGAAAATTGAGCAGTCTAGGAGCAATGAGGCATTCTAAGCCAGGGTCTACAGCACTGGAAAGGAGAGGGAGGTAGAAGTGGGATGATTAAGTGAATAGGACTTGAGGAAAGGACTCAAGGCAGAGCGGGGGTAGCAAGGTGGGTAAACAATGGCAGGCTGCTGAGCTGAGGATGGGCTCCTGATGCTGATCTGAAACACTGTGGGCGGTAGGGTGGGCTCTTGGAGAACAGCTTCAGAGTGAGAAAGGAAAACTCGAGCAGGGGTGTTAAAGACTGACTAGGGAGAACCAGGGTGTACCCAAGGAGTCTGTGTGGAGCTGTGTGAATAGATGCTCCATAAATACTT